GCATTTTTGGGGCCTGATCCTCTGCGACTTCACCGACTGTGACAGTTAAGGAAAGTGAGCCTCTGCAACTTCTGCAGCTGTCACAGATAGGGAGCCTGAGCCCCTGCATCTTCTGCACCTGTCGCAGTTCGGGAGCCTACAAGCTGCCACTGCCCAGCCCGGATGGAGCAAGTGTAGTTGGTAGGGGGGGGGTGGCTAGTAGTAGTAGTAGTAGTAGTAGTAGTAGTAGCAGTAGTAGTGGTAACTTGTAGAAGTAACAGCAGCAGCAGCAGCAGCAGCCGCAGCAGTAATAGTCATAGTACAGGGATGCTGAATGTAGTAATAACAACAGCAATGCTAAACATAGCAATGCTAGCAAGACCGGACTAACTGTATAATAAACATGCTAACAGTTCTAATTGTACCAGTAGAACTGCGGATACTAGTGGTAATGACAAGACCATGAGATAAAGCGGTGCTAAGACCTTTACGACTACTGACAATACGAATAATATGAACAATGCGAATATTATATTGTTAATAATGCTACTAAAGCTACTAATGCTTATAATGCTACTGCTACCAATGCTAATAATCATAGCAATCATGCCAATCATGCTTGTGGAACTGATGATACAAATAAAATAATACTCGTTGTACGAATGTTTCTAGTACTACTAATGCTACCAATCATACGAAGTCTACTAGTCGCACCAATCTCACTAAAAAAAACGAATGCTCCTAATAATTCTAATTGTATTAATGATATCACTGCTACTAAGAATACCAAGAATACTCAGGATACCGAGACTACTAGTAGTACTCAGGATACTCAGAATACGAATAGCCACGAAGAGTACCAAGAAAGCTAAGAATGCTGGTGATACCAATAGTAGTAATCATACTAATACAACTGATATTAAACGAAACAAGAACCAGCCATAGCAATGACACAACACACATGTTTCTAGTGATACTAAAACGAACCATCCGAACATCAGGAGTAGTACTGGCATGAATACTTCTAATACTGCTAGGCACCCTTTCTCTACTAGTGCCATTCATACGAATAATATGCATCATACACGAAGGCAAATATTACTGACGTGATAATACTAATAATAAAATATATATTTTTCATAATCAGAAAAACGGTAATGAGAACAACAATGCTAGTACTAATGTTGGTACTCGCTTGATTAGAACCAACATTCTCTAACCGGCAAACAACTCCCATGACCTCAAGAATAACAACCATAACAGTAATACAGCCGTCAAGAACAACTAGCAGCATGAATGACAGTAGCGAGCACTTACCTGGAGTGCGCAGCTCTCGTCGGAGGCGCCGGCGGCCAAACCGAGAACACCCAGCAGCACCTCGCGCGAGCTTGAGGGTTGCTCCAAATCCCTGTGTATAATGCGAATTGTAAGGGGGGTATCGGAGTCTCTGAGCTGAGGGTTTCTTTAGGACTGCAATGGTTTTCCAGTCTGTGAAACTGTAGAGCCAGTTCAAGCGGCTTAAGGACTCTGCAATAGTTAGTTGGAGGAAGCCTTGGGTACCCTGCCAAGTAGTCTGGTAATGTTTGTGTTATCTGCTTCCTCCTGACCCTACTGCCCTTACCTGCTTAAGTTCTTTATGGTGTTTTGCAGACAGGGCAGTAGTGGTAGCGTTGAAACAGAAGAGCAACATCAAATGTGGGACGCACGTAAGACCAGGAGCCATATCACATGAGACCTAAGCTCAAACGCTAAACCTCTCTATCCTCAAGTTCTATACTCCGCATAATATAACAGCCTAGATACTAAGCAGCAATGAACGATACTATTCCTCAGGGTTCCTTATGATAAGGGTCGTATGATATACACTACACACCGAAATCCAATTCTGATTGTTAAGGCCCTGATACGACCTTCCCATGTCAGCCTTGGTGATCATCGCGGCGGGATGTTGGGAGTGACGCACGCGCATGAACGACTGAAAGCCGAAATCGCTCCCAAGAAGCATCTGTAGGGTTTAGGGTTTAGGGGTTTAGGACTCGGTCTGCTTCGGGGTTTAGAGGTCTTGTTGGATTGGCATCACGATGGACATTGCGGTTGCGCCTTTGTACACCCTGAGCCAGGAAAGTATAGTATGTAGAAAGTTAAGAACAGATCGGAGTCTTGCTCGTTAAAGGGTGGTTAATAAGGTAAATATGGGAGGTTTATGAGGTAGGGGCCCAATAACAAAACTCTAAAAATTAAAATCCCTGCAATAATGACTCCCAACCCCGGTACTCTAGTGTTCTGAAAGCTCATGAACGCAGCTCGAAGTTCGCAGAAGCAGAGCAGCACTTTCCTCGTGATGTGGGGCATCGACCCCAAAGGCACTCTGCAATCCTCTCCGTTTCACGCAAAACGAGGACGTTGCCCCTGAGAGGCTGGGCTCAGTTACATGCACTAAACCAAGTTCCAACCCGAGTTCCCCAAACAAAATATGGGAGTTTCCGAAAATTAGGGGTACCTTATTTTGGGGTCCTGATATTAAGGATCCTATTATTTAGGGTACTATATTAGGGTCCCCTCTATTCGGAAACCCCTTTCAAGAGGAAACCCTTTGGCCGGGCCCGAGGCAGTCTTTGCTGGAGGAAGCCTGATTGCGGCCTTTGGCCTCGAGAAGAAGATGGCGTGGGGGGTTAGGGTCGGCTTCGGGATTGGGGCTTGACGGTATTGATTCGGAGTTTTGGCGATTTTTTCATTAGTGGCTGGGGATTTGAGGCCTTCAAGGGCTTCAGTGAGGGTCTGGACCGTCCGTGGACCCCGGCTTCACTGAGGCTTTCGTGGATGCCTGCATTCTTCAGCTCCTGTGCTGCTCGAACAAGCAGCTCTCGCTTCCTCGCAGGGTTCCTTTGGAGCCAAGTTCCAGAAACAAGCCTGACACGAAGGGGGAGGGAGGGTTCGTGGACCGGTACTGCTACCTGCATTCCAGGTTCGACTGCAACCACACTGAGGGGACTCCAACCCGCCGAACGTGACAATTCTGCGGCGGATTTCGAGCGAGCTGGAAACTCCTCTGAACTCGGTTCAAGCTCAAGAGGGAACCACGGACCCAGTTTGCATCAGTTTGCTGCGAATTCAATTCTGAGTCCTGAGTTCAAAATGGCCTAACAGCTAGCCTGAAGATATTCAGGGCTGCTTCTGATGCCGTCCAGTGCCTCGTGAAGCTGTCGGCGGAGTTCAGTTTCCTTCCAAGCCCAGAGTGGCACTTCAGACTTTTGTTGGCTCTTTTGATTAGGAATACGGATGAACAAGCGATGGTTGGAGGTTTGGAGCTTGAGGGGTTGAGGGCACATAATCGCATCTAGGTTAGGGAGCGGCAACTTCACCTTGAGGCGCATGTACAGTTTGGTGCGCCAGGCAAAGCTTCCATAGCCGCCTGGACGTTTTATCCGTTCCGTGCCGTTGCCTGTATACATTCAAGTAAAGCTGCAAAGACTGAGCAAGTATTTGTTTTTGTCTGACAGGTGCCTCCCATGGTTGCAATGAGACATATTGCCCTCGCTGCGCGTAAATCTATTCGTTGGCCTTGCCTGCCTTCACTGGTGCTCGTACAACTCAACTACAGCTGCCTTTGCTGCTCATGCGACAAAAGTAGGACGGCAGTCTCCATCTCAGGGGTCCGATGCGCGAATAGCATCTGCCCTTCGTGTCTGCAGATTGATGCAGTACCTGGGCTATGCATGCTAGTATTTCTGCCGTTTTCCAGCAGGTTCTCGCCCACCCCTGCCCCGCAATGGCGCAGATTTCTTCCTTCTTGAATTATTAACCCTAAACCCCAAAATCCCTAACCCCAAGCGTGTCATGATGCTATGACTGCAGTGGGAACGCTACCATTTCCGGTCATTCGCCGAGGATGATCATGAATACGTTACGCCTAGTTTCGAGAGGCCCTCATGTATAGCATCGGCAGAAGCCCAGCCGGTCCTCGGCAAGTTGTGTCTCGAGCTCTTGGCGAAGGGTGCTCGCGCGAGCCTTTCACAGAGGATGCTGTGAAGACTCCGGCCGGGACCCCTTCGTGGGTTCCTGTGAAGAGGGAAAGAATATCAAGCACTGCACTTCCCGATCATGGTAATGTAAACTAAACTCCTGAACAACGACCCAACTTCCCACTCTTCAGCGCACTGCTGCGACTTCCGCCACAGTCATGGAAGCACATGTTGATTCTGTGTGCGGGCACGTGCGCATGACTTCACTCATAATGCATAAATCCATGTACATCTTCTTTATCTCTACCTCTTGCTTTGTCTCTTTAATATATATATATATATGTACACATACATATACAGACATGCATACCCATTACATATGTGTACATATACATATATATATATATATATATATGCATGCATGCACATATGCACAAACACCTGTATGCAGCAGGAGGTCGCTTCGCAGAAACTGCTGTTGTCAACACGCTGAGCCGTGTAAGTTCTGTGCACGTGGTGCTGCTCAAACAAGATGCCTAGATACAACGAGCCAGGTGGGGGGTGGGGTGGGGTGTGCTGTGAATGTACTAGGCAACCTTATGCGGAACAAAGGCCTCACTTGGGCCCGCACTTTACCCTAAACCCAAGACACCAACACCCCAAACCTTCAGTCTCATTTCGGGTCCCACTTCAGGCTTCCTAAGAATAAGGATCCTGCTGTCATGTGAAACCCATTTCCGTCCGTAATAATCTCCCCGATGCTCACTACTGCAGCTGGTATGGCATTTGATACGTTTTGTTGCAGCCATGTGGTAGGACAGCCATAAGGTAGTTTGCCCTCTTGCTACCTTCTAAGATAACGGCCCCACCTCCAGCAGGATCTTCAGAAGAATCCCACATACTAAAACGCCCCAAACCAAGACTCCTCAAAGTCCTCGGTCCCAAACCCTAAGCCCGTGAAGCTCTGCACACCTCACGCCTTGACGCCTAAACCCTAAACCACAGAGCCCCAGACCTCCTTACAAAGAAGCCTGAGTAACACTAATATGATTCCTTAGACTTTCTTATTGTGATGAAACAAGATTTGCATATCACAGAAACCCAACTCGAATTACTCAGGCCCTTAACCCTTACCCCTCTGTTTTTATCATGTACAGTAACCCTTATAGCAACCCCTATTCTCTTCATCAAGGCCCGTCTGTCCAACCGTTGAGCCCCAGAGGAAATGGCTCTGTGAGACCTCCAGCGACGTTCGCTGGGCGCGCAGCTCCGAAAGTTCGACCTTAGCTTCGCTCCGGCGAAGGGCGGCGAAGGTCGGGCTTCAGCCTTAATAACTAGAGTAGAGGCTCCCTTGAAGGTCACTGTAAGGGTTAGCATACGGGATAACGTACGGGGTTCAGGGTAAAGGGGCCTTGATAATTAGACGGGTTTCCTTGAAAAGTTACAAAAAGTTTTAGTTGCTTTTGGTCTTTGTTGTTACTGAGCAACCATGTCGGCTTTCAGGATTTCGGTTTTTTTTCGGGTCTTGGTTTTAGGGCCTTAAGGAGCTAAGGCTTTTAGGGTTCAGGTTCAGGTTCCTAAGGCTTTAGGGTTTAGGGTTTAGGGTTTAGGGTCGGTTTGGGGCTTCGGGATGTTTGGGGTAGGGCTTGGGGCTTAGATTTTCAGGGAGAACTGTTTACTAAGCTGCTCATGAAGACATGTAATGCGACGCGTTACTCCGGGTTAGGACGGACTGCGATCAAATCATGGGTCAGGGTTTCAGGGTTTTGGGTCCAAACCTTAGGGCTGAGGATCTTACCAAACCCAAATAGGGTTTAGGGTATATGATCCTGCACCATATGTTACACATTGCGTGTTTATATGATAGTGCAGGCTGACGGGGTTTGGGAGGTGTTGGGAGCTTAGAGCTCAACAGGATTGGACTAGGGATCACAGCTATGACATATCCAGCAACATCATGGCGGTGCAGGCATGACACCACCAGTCGTGATGGTGACGAGCAGGTGGCCATGATAATGATAATTGCAATCAGATTCCTAATGAAGTGTTGGCCGTTGCAATCCTGCTCCACTTCTCTACGGTCCTCTTCATCATCGCCTCCACTGGTGTCCAGTGTTGACCCATGCGCTGAACACAACTCAGACCCGCATCCCAGCATCCCAAAATGTCTGCAGCTCACCCTACAAAGGCCAAAATACGTTTCAACTTAACCTTAAACACTCAGTCACCAAGCCCTATCCGAATCCCTATGTATATAAATCTCTCTCAATATATATTTTATTCTATGTTCTACATTATATATTTTTATATTGCATTTCCTATATTGTGTTTTTATATTTTATATGTGACGTAATATATATATATATACACACATATACACAATTCATGTCTTATACCTTCTACCATACTGTTAGATAACATATTCTGTATAAGAAATATTAGATGTGTTCTAAAACCGTACACCGTAATTCATATACCGTATATTTATATCTTACATCTTGTATCATACAGACTGTATTTGTATATTAGTCTATATTTTATGCCATATCTTACATCTTACACCTGATATAATATATAAGACATCATACATATTGTCTTATTTCTATATCTTATACCTTGTATCTTACTTCTTCTAGGTAGTGTTACTGTGTGTTGTGGATCTGCTATATATTATGTACTACATATCAGATATTGTATATTATAGAACGACGTTTGTGTTCATACTGTATATTCCATTAGATTAATTATATTACCGCACCTCAACAGAAAAAGTCTTTTACTTGTCTTCGCTCAGCCCTCCGCCGTCAGGTCGGTAATGTCCCCATGCAGGGCGGAGAGCTGACGCGCGAGAGACAGGGTGGGCAAGGGCGAAGTTTGGTTCTACTTGGAAGTGCGACCTTGGCTCAGTATGGCATTGCAAAAGTATCAGGATTTTCGTCGCGCATGCGGAGGGCAGGGGGCGGCCAACGTGTCGCTTACCAATCAATTTCATAGTTCCAGAAGCCAGCTGGTAAACCGGTTTCCTGCATCTTATCAAACTCTCTGTCCCCTGTAGCAACGAACACAAACAGCAAATCGAAGAAGTCCCGTGTCGAACGTTAGGGAGGCTCGCAGCCCAATCCGGACCGAAAAGACCTCCTCAAGACAGATCTGGTTCTTCGGAGTTTGTGACGGTCTTAGGGCCCCTGCCGTGGTACGCGAATTTATGTGATTAGGGTTGGGGAGTTGGGGGAGGGGCAGGCGGGGTGTTGCTGAAAAACTGCCTCTTCATGTGGGTCGACGATCGCGTCTCCTCGGCTTCGGCTCTGTCTGGATCTCCAGGCTTGGGCTCACAGATAGTCTGAGGTCTGAGGTGTTTTCCTGCTGTGGAAGTTCCCATGCTTGTGAAGATCTAGCACTGAAGCTGGGGCAGCGGCCCTCTTCAAGGCTGTCTGCTTGGTGCCGGCGTGCGCGGAGATCGGATACCTGCAGACTGCTTTCACGAAGGCTGTTGGCAGCTCACTAAACCCAAGGCCCCTAAACCCCAAACCGGAAACTTCAAACCCTAACCGTTCACCGATCAACTCCTAAAGCCCCTGAGGTGTAAATGGACCCGAAAGCCGCTCGACCTTCCCAAAACCCCATGGGCCTGGCCGCTCACGGCGGATTGGTCTTGGGCCATGGTGCTGCAAAGGCGGCGAAGGTGCGCAGCCTCGTGACGGAAGGATGTTTACAGTGTATAACCATTGTATATATACATATATATATATACACACATTATACTTATAGTTATAACAGTATACGTACATACATATGTACATACATACACACACATACATACATACATACATACATACATACATACATACATACATACATACATGCCTACATACATACATGCCTACCTACCTACCTACCTACCTACCTACCTACCTACCTACCTACCTACCTACCTACCTACATACACATATACATATACATATGCATATATATATATACACCATATAGATAGATATATATATATATAATATAATATATAATTATTTATTTACTTACATGTATATATGTAAATGTAGTATTATGCTACTTATAATCATCATTCTTCTTCTTACTACTTACTTATGCATTTATTTATTGATCTGTTTATTTTATATTATTAGTCTTATCTTTATTTTATCTATATTATTACTATCATTTGTATTGTGATATATATACATATATATATATATATGTAAATATACACATATAGGGAGCACCCTCCTCTCCCCCTGTGCCCGCGCTTCTGCCTTACACAGGGAAAGGAATGAACCTCTGACTGGTTGATGCCTGGTGACCCCCGATGTAGCTTGCTTTTCACATGTTTTCAACCGACAGAGCACAGCAATGTTCATTCGGAGGTAGTACTGCCCTGCCAACAAGCGCTATCCTGAATCTTTCAGTTTGGCTTCAGAATGCCAGACATGAACTGACTGCCGAACCAAAGCCCACCTCACCAGCCCGGGACTAGAGTGTGGAGGTTACCGGTAGCAGCCAAGCCTGCTGCCAGACTAAGACCACACCAGCTGAAATCCTGAACCGACGAGGCCGAAGCCCGAATCTCTACGCCTGACTCCAGACTCTTCTCTCAGAGTTCGGCTTCGGCGTTCAAACTCTCGCCCCAAGACTGCGCGGCCGCCTCAAACGGGCTTCCAAGGGCACTCAGCTCAATCGAAAAGGGGTCCAGATTGGATTGGACAGATTCAGGTCAACCCTAACCCTGTGTTCCCGCTATGGTGCGAGACTAACACTCCGACAAAGGCTGGAGCCTAAAACCCCAGACTCTGAATCCCTACGTCCGGAACGCAAACACACCCACTGGGTTTTGAAATTCGGACCTTGAAATTCTCCAGGCCACGAAGCCCTCAACCCAAATCTTCTGAATCCAGAACCTCGAAACGTCTCAAGCCCTGAATCCTTGAAACCCTAAACCTTGAATCCCTTGACCCTTTTTTCTTTCCTCTATGAACCTCCAATCGTCCGACCGGTACTCAGGTCCGATGTGGCCATGCCGTGCCGTTCCTGCAACCCTTCAAATAAATTTGCACAAACGCTATTGAACGGACAGGAAATAAGAGCCACGGGGCTACTGCACAGGCAGTGCATGAAAGCAAGCATTCGTAATAGTACTAACAGCATCTATTACTATCCATGTCAGGTGTTCACAGCCAAATCCGCAAAGGACACACCAGCATCGACACGGTTTGAGTGGGAATGCACCACTGAAAGGAGCAAGGGGCTTCAGGAGGGGTGTAGTTCGGCTTGAAAAGCCGGAAAGCTATAATCCGACGGCCAACTTCGACTGTGCGATCGCAAGCACTCAGGGCAAGGCCTCTGCGGCATCGGCGGCTTCTATGGCATCGTCGCGCTCCTGCGCATCAAGCGGGCTGCCTAAGCCAGAAGCCTCGTCGAAAGCCAAGAAGAACAAGACTTCTCTGCAGGAGCCAGTAGGTGTCCTAGTGGCAGCAGCACCGGCAGCAGGGGAGGTGTAGAACCAGAACGGGAAGTAGAAACAACAGAAGCAGGAGCAGAAGAATTCTTCGGCCTGGTCGCCGTAGAAACGGCAGTAGCAGAATCGCCGTCAGAGCCATGGATGCTAGGAAGCGGCATCGGCAGCATCAGTGTCGTCACCCGCAAGATCATCACGCCGCTCATGCCTAAGACATGACAACCATAACCGTGACCTTAATCTGTGACCTCACAAACACCAGCGGCTGCACACTGCAGGCATGTGATCTGATCCAACCAACACCCTGGAATCTGGAACCGTGCATGGCTGGTCCATAGGCTTCCTTCAAGCATCTCGATGTACGGTCATTGCTGCCAACGCTTAACAACCACAAATATGAACCTGGTACTGCCCATTCCTGACGACCCAAGGCGCCTGCTGCATTTGTGCCAGTTCTTGGCGCAACTGCTCCTGGGTCTCTCCAAGACTAGCTTTACTCTGAAGCCTGACTGTTCATCCCATTTGTGGCGTTCCTGTTTTGCTTGATGTCCTCTGGGTTCCGAGTAGTGTGTACGGTTCAGCTTCTACATCTGATCGTTCAGAGCTAGGGGTTGAAACCAGATTAAGTGAAACACTTACCTCGATGCAGGCTTGCAAGAATTGGAGGGACCTGTAAGCTTCTGAAAACTTAGGCCCGGCCCAACCCATATCCCTCAACTGAACTCACCTGAAAACACAGGTCCTCAGAAAAAAGTGGGAAGATGGTAGTTGTCATGTCATGATCGATGTATCATGATAGAATTTCGGTCTTGGCAGTGCTGGTGGTGGTAGTAGTAGTAGTAGTAGCAGGTAAGTAAGTAAGCAAGCAAGCAAGTATGTAAGGGTCGTATATAATAAGAAGTAGTAAGTAGTAAGAGGAGGAGGCGAACCTGTAAATCGGAAGACCTTGTAGCAACAGGTAGTAACGAAGAATATCCTTCTCTCCCTGCTGCGTCTGAGGCGTTGGCCACGGTCGTCACGGGTTCGACCTGAGTGCAGAGCGATGTGGCATCGCGGAACTTGGCAGCAAGTTTGCTTTGCCGAGGCTCCAATTATCTGGAAAGCCCTGAAATCTCAACCTCGAGCGTTCACCTCAACTTCCAGCCTTAAACTAGCGCGAAAGTAGACTTTGTTGAATCTTCCTGAAACACCGAGAACCCCGAACCCTTGAATTTCTCTTGGCTGCCAGGAGGCACAATCTGACCCCACGGAGGTTCCTGTCAAGTCAGCACAGAATGAGGAGCCTACCCCGCAAACCCGAATTTAGAAGCCACGGAACCCAAAGAAGAGCGGAAAAATGCTGTCAACCCACAGGGCTGTTTGGACACTCCTCAATATGTAAGATGACGAGCCGCAGTGGTTTTATTCATGACTTGACACAGGCGTTTTTGGCTTCGAGTGGCCCGTGTTGGATGCGTGCCGAGAGCGGCGGTCTTGGCCCCCAGGTCAGAGAACACCCAATTGAAGTAGCTTGCAGTAATCCGGGGTCCAATGCTTTCGCCTCCCTCCACTAGTGACAAGATGGCTCCTAGATACTAGTTCAATGATGCCGTCACCAGCTCACTGGAGACCGAAACCCAAAGTTCTGAAGCCATGAACTCCTCAACTCCAACACCACTGCACTGTTGAACCCTGAAACCATTAGTTCTGAAGCCCAGAAAAGCCACACTGCATGCCCGCCTCGAGAGAACCTGGGCTCAGATCAAAGGACTTGGGAATATGCAAACACACCAGCACTAAGTCACGACTAGTGTTTGTCTCGCTAGTTCTGCTACCAATCTGTCTGAGTATGAGCAGCAGCTGCTACACCCACTTCGACGACGAGTACCTAGGACCAGCATCTCGTCATCGGCCTGAAACCCCCAGGCTAGCAGAAATTTTGACCCGCCAACTGAAAGCAGCGATTTTCTTTTCACTAGCCAGAGAGTCGTGGGTGCAGGGTTCCGAGGTTTCCATGCAAGCCAGTGGTGAGGGTAGTAGTGACGACTGGTAAGCTAGTATAGTTTGGGCACGATGATGATGAACATAGTGATAATGCTTCCATGACGCTGCTGACGAAGAAGATGGTCATGATGTTGAGATGATGGTGATGCTGGCGACATGACCAAAAGGACAACAAGAAACGGCGACATGTCCGCTCAATTTCATCATCTTTCCCGTACTTGTTCTCGAATTTCACTTACCCCTGCTCGTATGCCTACTCCTCTTCCTCTTTCTCCATGCGTGATACTCTTGCTGAAACTGCTACCACTGCTGCTTCTACTGCCACTCATGGTAGTGCTACGTTAGTACAAGACGACGACGACGACTACTACTACTACTACTACTACTACTGCTTCTTCTTCTACTTCTACTTAGTCTTCTACTACTACTACTACTACTACTACTACTACTACCTACTAGTACTACTAGTAGTAGTAGAAGAAGAAGAAGCAGTAGTAGTAGTAGTAGTAGTAGTAGTAGTAGTAGAAGTAGTAGTAGTAGTAGTAGTAGTAGTAGTAGTAGGAGTAGTAGTAGGAGTACTAGTACTACTACCAGTACTAGTACCAGTACCATTAGCTACTGCTACTGCTACTGCTACTACTACCACCACTACTACTATTATCATTTTTCTACTGTTACCATAACAGCACGTACGACTACTATTACTACAACTTCTCCTGCTGCTGCTACCCACTACTACCACAACTACTACTGCCATGAATTCTTTTTGAAGCCAGGCAGCCGCGGTGATCTGTGCCGAACCTGAGTGTTATTCTTGGGTTCGTGCCTCACCCTTCGTGGGGATTTGACCATTCGGGGTTGTGGAATTCGTCGCCCTGTTGTGCGGCTTTGTGGCCTAACGTTGGGACTTCGCAAATGGTTTGGTGTTAAGGCTTTGGGAAGGAGGAAGCAGATTCACGACACGTAGCAAGAGTGAACATCGTAAAGTCCTCGGGGTCCTGAGGCTGCGAGTCTGCGGTTGCACTCTGCCAGAAAGGTGTCCGAAACTCTTTGACCCTGAAGAGCAAGACCCTCTCTATAAGGGCTGCTAACAACAGATCTTTCTGTTTTTTGTAAACCCAAGCCTTGGCTCTCCGAGATCCCAGAACTCGCCAGAGAAAGAGGGACAACATCTGCTTGGTTCCCGGCGCGGTCTGGTGTGGAGCCCTCAGTGG